AAGTTGATACTTTAAGAAATGACAAAGTTATAGTGAAAAAAAATATTTTACTGCACCAAAACTTTAATCTGAAATCTGGACGCGGACGTGGACGCCGACGCCGGGCGAGTAGGACAGCTAGCTCTCCATATACTTCGTATAGTCGAGCTAAAAATGAGGCTTAACAGAGTTATGGTTCTTTTGCACTGCACTTCTACTCAATGAGTTCAAAGTGTTAAAATTAACAAAGGGCAATAACTCCAAAATTAGGAAAAAAAAGAGTTTTTGTTCTTATGCCATGCACATCTACCTATTGCGATCTATTCACCTACAAAAGTTTCATGTTGATATCTCTTATAGTTTTAGAGTTATGTCCCGGACAAGATTTTTCTATAAGGGGAAATAATTCAAAAACCGGGCAAAATAGAGTTATGGTTCTTTGACACTGCACTACCCCTCAATGCCCTCTACCACTGTATGAAGTTTAAACAATTTATCTCCAAGGGTTTTCAAGTTATGCTCAAAACAAGACAACAGACGGACGTACCCACAAAATGGTACTTCTGTGACTTTTCCTTGATCTTTTTGGCCATTTTTAGTCACACAAGGCTTAAAAAAAGACACAAAAGTAAAAACGGAATGAATAGGATCAAAGAGAATTTACTGTTACCCATTGTTCTCCAAGTCACACAAGTACCTCTGGGTTCATACGGATGGACAGACGGACAAGGCGCCGACTATATGCTCCCCGAAATTTTTCGGGCAGCATAAAAACATCAGACCTCAGAACAGTACATAATGATTACAGTCTCTCTGATGGCCATTTTCCTATAACACAAAAATAAAACTAGGCAAGGTTATAATGTACAGTACAGCCTTAACAATTTTTCCCACCGATTCCCGCGATTTTTTTAAGGGTGGATTGTCACCGCAATGTCCTTGTGACAGTTGTGACTCTACGCTCATCACCCCATCAGGTAAAATTCATGCTGCAGGATATTGTCACAATTTTGTTACCAAAAGTTACTCGTATATTTGACTTCCTGTTTTACTTTTTTCATTTTATTTACAAAAGAAACTTCAAAACTACCGCCTTTTATACATATTTGACAATGTTATTTAAGCAAAAGTTAAGTGTTACTGACTTTTTTTAACAAGACTACATTGTACATTACGTGAACATTTATATGCAATATTGATCACAGCGAATCTCTGTGATTTTCCTCGAGGGATTGCGACGATTTTTTTTAACCGTCCGCGATGAAGTGCCACTGTGACTGACCAAAGTATGTCGTCCGCGATTTTCCAGTCGTAGTTAAGTGTCCGCATTGACAAAGTGGAAAGTGAAAAAATCGCTTAAGCTGTACTGTACTGTACTCATACCATCATCTGTGATATTTTCCCGACATCCACTGATGTTAAGTTTCTGTAGATTAGGTGGTAAACACAGGCATAAATATACAATACTATGTCGATGTAGCCCTGTCCAGCCTAAATGTAAAGACTCTAACCTGAAATCACAGGGCAAAAATATTCTGTTATAAAAATGATTTATGAACAAGCAATTATCATAGTATTGCAAGCAATCTATAAGTCCCCTACCGGTTAAGCCCCTGCAACATTCTGCAGGGCCATTGGCCATTCACTAATGTTTCAATTTTTCTCTATTTTAAGTAAATTTGTTGGAAAAGTTCTTTAAAAGTGATCACAGGAAACAGTTTTTATGAACAGACAGACAGACAAACTGAAGGACACTCTAAAGTTAATTTTTTAAACATCCCTGTTACCAAAATATAACATTTTTTAAAAGCAAAATTCTTTAAGAGGAGATAACTCTTGAAATAAAGATGCAAGACATACATGATGTGAGTGTAACAAAGAAACAATTAGTAATGAAGGTGTTGATAATGAATGTTTATTTTGAATTTGAAGTCAAAGAAAGTTAAAAGAATGAATAAGAAAAAATTCAAAGCTTAAGGAGGAGATAATTCTGGAAGTATGGATGCTAGATTTAAAAACCTTGTCATAATTATGATGTGGGAGTTTGAAGTAAATTCTATAAGGTATGAATAAGTTGAGTAAAATATACCAATTTCTCGAAAAAAAATCTAAGTTCAAGGGGGACATATTTCTAAAAATAGTCTTGCTAGAGTAATGAAGCTTCTCACAAATGATTTGAGTGATAATAAGAAACATATATATGAAGTTTGAAGAAGATACATTAAGAAATAAAGAAGTTATTAAAAAAAAACATTTTTTTTCATGAAAATTCTAAGTTCAAGGGAAGCAATTCTGATAATTTTTGTGCTAGAGTTTAAACCTTGTCACATATGATAAGGTTCATGACCAGGAACTTATATTTGAAGTTTGAAATAAATACCTTAAGAAATAAAGAACTTACAGTGAAAAAGCCTAAAAACTAGAATCAGAAATCTTGATGAGCTTGACGACATTTGTTAAGTATGACAGCTCTCAATATACTCCCTATAGTCAAGATTAAAATGATGTGTATAATTTCCATACTGCTATCTATCCATATTTTAAGTTTCACTAGAAATGTGTCTATAGGTCACGGGTGCCCCCACACTCAACCGATTTGTCAATCTTGTGTCTCTAGGTCAAATTTTTTTTTTTTTTTTTGGCTACATATGCCAAAGTTGAAAACTAAAAATCTTTTATTAAGTAAAGGGCAAATACTACAAATACTGAATAAATAAATGAGTACACATGCTGACCAACATTCTTGTAAACTTTCAGGCCTACAGGTCAAATACTTTTTGAGTTATGTGCAACACAAGTTGAATATTGTAAATTCTTACTAAGTCAAGGGCAATAACTCTAAAAATACTAAAAATATCCACATGAAAATACCCAGGTGCACAACTACACATGCTGATCAACATTCTTGTAAGGTTTCATGACTCTAGGTCAAATACTTTTTGAGTTACGTGCGACACAAGTTGAAAGTTGGAAATGTTTACTAATTCAAGGGCAATAACTCTAAAAATACTAAATATATCCACACAAAAATACCCAGGTGCACAACTACACATGCTGATCAACTTTCCTGTAAGGTTTCAAGACTGTAGGTCAAATAAATCTTGAGTTACGTGCGACACAAGTTGAAAATTGGAAATTTTTACTGAGTCAAGGGCAATAACTCTAAAAATATCCACACGAAAATATCCAGGTGCACAATTACACATGCTGATCAACATTCCTGTAAGGTTTCATGACTCTAGGTCAATTACTTTTTAAGCTATGTGCGACACAAAAAGAGAATGGAAGGACGGACGTTCTAACAGGAGAGTAATAATGTGGCTACTCTATTGTTCTCTCTATTGTTCTTTTTAGCCACACAAAAGAAAATAGCCACATAAAAGCATTACGGAATGAATGACATCAAAGAGCAAGAACAGTTACCTATTTTCCCTCTAGCCACATAATTACTGTCCTGTGAGTGCAGATGGACAGACGGACAGACAAGGGTAAATCTAAATGCCCCCTCCCCCCCTCCCTATAGTGGGGGCACAATAAAAATTTTCAACTCTTTTTGACTAATCACAAATATTGTTATATTTGCCATGTTTTAATCCTATTTGTTGCCAAGGCAACCAATTTTTTCAACATAGGAAGAAAAGAAAAAAGACGTGCATAATCTCCAGACTGCCATCTACCCATATTTCAAGTTTCATAAAAATATTTCCAGTACTTTTTGCATTATCACTGGATCCAGTTAATAAGTAAAATTTGCCATAATTACAGTCTTTTTGTTGCCATAGCCAGTCTTTCTGAAAGTGTCAGACATTCGGTCTGACAAACCATGAAAATCTGTCGGACCGAAACGAAATCTGTCAGACCAAACGAAATTAATCAAAATCAAAAGAAAACTTGTGTTTGTATTTCCAAGACACTTTTCGGTTTTAATTTTTTCACCGTAAAAATCGGCACATTTCGTACAGCACATTTTCACCTCCTCCCTGTCATACACCAACGATCCACGTTTCTGCTTCCATTTTTCATTAAATTTTGTCTCAGGTCTATTCTTTTCATCCTTTTACTGCTGTTCTGCACGCTCCTCTGGCCTAGATTTTCAATTTTTCCCAGGTTTAGCACCTTAAACGATGCCATTTTGTATACATGCCACTTGGATATAAGAAACATGGCATTATCACCATTGTAGATAAATATGTTGTAGTTGAAATACAAATAGAAGCAACAAACAATGTAACTATGTGCAATGTACATCATTAATAATGAATTTTCTATTTTTAGTAACTGTAATCTTGACCCTATGGGGGCCAAAAAGCCATCCCCAGTGAGGTCTTTATAAAAACTTGCTTTACATCAAATTTCATAAAAATATCTTATTCCGAACTAGTTTATTGACTGGAAACCTATTTTCTATTTTTAGTAACAGTGACCTGACTGGAAACAGATTTTCTATTTTAAGCAACAATGACTTTGACATTACAGGACCAAAAAGCAGGCAGATGAGCTGGCAGGCATGCAACAACCTAAAGAGTTTCTTGTTTATAACTTAATAAAGTTTGTTGTGATTAAAAGGATATACTACACTAATAATTAAATTTTATGGAAAAAACATAATAAGGGCCATAATTAGGTCAAAACTTATCCAATCACAAAATCCTGACAATATGCATCAGGGCACTTGAAGGTGAAAGCTTGAACAAAATCCCTTGAGAAATGTAGAAGGAGTTGCGCAACAGAAGAAATTGTTCACTATATATTCTGTACAAAGAAAACAAAGGGCCATAATTAGGTAAAAAATTATGCAATCACAAACCCCAAAAATATGCATCAGGGCACTTAATGACAAAGCTTCCGTGAAAGTTTGGTCAAAATCCGTTGAAAAATGTAGGAGGAATTGCACTCAGAAGAAATTGTTTACTATATATTCTATTTACAGGGAAAAAAACAAAGGGCCATAATTAGGTCAAATATTATCCAATCACAAAACCCCAACAATATGCGCCAGGGCACTTGATAACAAAGCTTCTATGAAAGTTTGGTCAAAAGGTCAAAATCTGTTGAGAAATGTATGAGGAATTGCGCACAGAAGGAATTGTTTACGCCCGCCCGCCTGCCATACCTCAATCTAATTACCAGTTTTTTCCTTCGGAAAACATGTTTAAGAGGAAAACCTGGTTAAAAAGCCGGACGGTCAGACCAATCCGGAATAAAAAATGGGTCAAAGACAGAAAAGGCCGGGTTGCATATGTGTACAAAATATCATGAGGCTGTGATGTTACTTAAATTTTCTACCACTGTCTGACCATTGATGTTGAAAATTTAACTTAGTTGGTAAACCTGAAAAGAATGAGCATCAGACCTGAAATGGAATCCCACAATATGGGACCAGTCATGTAAATGCTGTGAACCACATATCAAGAGGCTGTGAAGTTGTTGAGAAAACTGTTAAGAAAATTTCCTACTATCTATTGATCATTAATTATGTCAAAATTTAACTAAATCGGCAAACAGGAAGTGGATGAGCGACAGACCTGAAATCGAATCCCACGATATGATACCATGTGCTGATGCTGTATACCAAATATCAAAAGGCTGTGATAAGTAGTTGTTGAGAAAACTGTTACGAAAATTTCTTACTATTGACCATTAATGTTGAAAATTTAACTAAGTCGGCAAACAGGAAGTGGATGAGCGACAGACCTGAAATCGAATCCCACGATATGATACCATGTACTGATGCTGTATTCCAAATATCAAAAGGCTGTGATAAGTAGTTGTTGAGAAAACTGTTACGAAAATTTCTTACTATTGACCATTAATGTTGAAAATTTAACTAAGTCGGCAAACAGGAATGGAATGAGCGACAGACCTGAAATCGAATCCCACGATATGATACCATGTGCTGATGCTGTATACCAAATATCAAAAGGCTGTGATAAGTAGTTGTTGAGAAAACTGTTACGAAAATTTCTTACTATTGACCATTAATGTTGAAAATTTAACTAAGTCGGCAAACAGGAAGTAGATGAGCGACAGACCTGAAATCGAATCCCACAGTATGGGACCACGTGTTGATGCTGTATACCAAATATCAAAAGGCTGTGATAAGTAGTTGCTGAGAAAACTGTTACGAAAATTTTTCCCAGCCCGCCCACTGCCCAACATTCACCATACTATAACCCGGGTTTGCACCAGTGCAACCCGGCAAAAAATCGTCGAACCTAATCAAAATTTATTGGACATGTCCGTCAAACCGACGTATTTCGGAAAGTCTGATAGCCCAAAACCCGAATTTTTAAAATAAGGGAAAAAAACAAAAAGGGCGTTTATAAATTTCCCTACTTCCAAACTAAACATATTCCAAAAATTTTAAAAAAATTTTTCAGTACCCTTTTTGTGTTATTGCGGGTCCCTTTTGTGGACAAAAAAGGGGGCCCGGAAAAACCGGAAGGGGGCTACCAAACCATGATCAAAGATTGCAAACCCAAACCCGAAATCCCCGGAACTTTTGAAGGGC